TGGTGTAGGGACCTGGGGGAGCTGGAGATGCTGACTCTGTTCTAAGCAGCAGATTGCCAATTGGGGGCAACAGTTAGAAACCATGGTTGATTATCAAAGCAGGAGAGGGGATACCACTGACATCTATTGGGTAGAGAATGCTGCAAGCACATTACAACAGACAGGTTCCTACTGCCACAAATGTTAAAGGTGCTAAGATGGAGGAAAATCTTGTGATTATTTTTAGAGTTTTTTTTATTGGTTTCTCAAAACAGGGCTTCTCTGTAGGTTTGGAAACTGTCCTGGAACTCTCTTTAAAGACAAAGCTGGCCATGGAACTCACAGAGATCTGCCTGCCTCTGCCTCCTGAATGCTGGAATTAAAGGCATGTGCCACCACCTACCATCTCTATTTTTGTTGTGGTGTGCGTGCGTGCGTGCGTGCATGCGTGCGTGCGTGCGTGCGTGCGTGCGTTTTCATGTGTGTATTATCTTTGGGTGTGCACCCATGCATGGGTGTGTGAAGAAAAGAGTGATTTATTCTAGTGCTCTCCACCTGTTTTTTGAAGCAGAATCTCTCATAAAAAAGCCATCACTCACTGATTGTCTAGAATGGATGTGTGGCTGGTGAGCTGCACTCATTGGCCTTTCTCTGCCCAGTTTCCCAGCCCCCCCATGCCCAGCATGTGGTTATAGCTACACACACACTACTCCATCTCCATGTCTGGCTTTTTTTGTGGATCTGGCTCATAACCCACATATAATGTATGTATACAAGTGGTCAGAGGACACTTTAAGGAAGTGTCGTTGGGACAGAGTCAGTGCCATGGAAAAGAGCCAGTCATGTATTAAGCATTGGAAACTATTTTAGAGAGAGGAAACTGGCTTTGGGAAGAATAAGACTGGTTCATGTGAATGCAGCGGACATGCATGGGAGACAGAAGTTAAAGCTGAAGAGGAGGGGAGGTAAATACTGCTGCCTAAACTGGGATTTTGTTCTAAGTATAGCGTGTTGTTTAAGCAGGGGCCATGACACTACAATTCAGTGTTTTTCTTTAATTTATTTGGTTAATTGCATGCATTGTAGTGTGTGTGTGTGTACACATGAATTTCTGTATGCATGTTCACATGGGCGTGAGTGTGTCTTGGTCACTGTCTTAGTTATGATTTATTTATTTATTTTTAAAGGTTTATTTATTTATTATGTATATAACATTCTGCCTCCATATATGCCTGCAGGCCAGAAGAGGGCACCATATCTCTTTACAGATGGTTGTGAGCCACCATGTGGTTACTGGGAATTGAACTCAGGACCTCTGGAAGAATAGCCAGTGCTCTTAACCTCGGAGTCATCTCTCCAGCCCCCAGGATTTATTTATTTTTATTTTATTGATGTTTTGCCTGTGTGAGAGTGTTGGATCCTAGAATAATAGACAGTTGTGAGCTGCCATATGTGCTGGGGATTGAATCCAGGTCCTCTGGAAGAGCAGTCAGTGCTCTTAACCTCTAAGCCATCTCTCCAGCCCCATTAGTTAGTATTTCTATTGCTGTGGAGAGACACCATGACTCTTATACAGCAACTCTTATAAAGGAAAACATTTAATTGTGGTGGCTCACTTACGGTTTAGAGATTTAGTCCATTGTCGTCATGGTGGGACATGGTGGCATGTAAACAGATGTGATGCTGGAGCTGAGAGTCCTATATCTTGAATGGCAGGCAACAAGAAGGGAATTAAGACAATGGGCGTGGCTTGAGCATATATGAAATCTCAAAGCCTCCACAGTTATACACTTCCTCCAACAAAGCCACACCTCCTAATAGTGCCTCTCCCTATAAGCTTATGGGGGCCAATTACATCCAAACTACCACAGTCACTGTTCTATTGTTGTAAAGAGACACTATTGTAGCACAATAAATAAAAGACCCAGAGACAGATATTGAGGTCCAAGCTTCAAGCTGAAGATCAGAAAAGCAAAGCTGCTGACCACTAGCTCTTACCTTTACTCAGACCAAAGGGGCGATCCTCAGACTGCTCCCGACTTCACTGCTCCTCAGATTCACTCAGACTGCTATGTTCTCCTCAACATGGCTAAAGACTAACTCTCGACTGAATGTCTCTTCCTTTTATACCTTTCAAATTCTGGGATTAAAGGCATGAGCTCTGATTCACTTTCCCATAGCCCAGGGTGGTCTTGGACTCAGAGATTGGTCTACCTCTTCATTCTGAGTTCTGGGATTGAAGGTGTGTACCACCACTGCCTGGATTCTATGGCTAACTAGTATGGCTGCTTTGCTATCTTGATCTCCAGTGACTTTAATAAATCATAAACAGTATATCACCATACACTATGACTATAGTAACTCATTTATTTATTTATTTATTTATTTATTTATTGGTTTTCCGAGACAGGGTTTCTCTGTGTAGCTTTGGAGCCTATCCTGGCACTCGCTCTGGAGACCAGGCTGGCCTCGAACTCTCAGAGATCCGCCTGCCTCTGCCTCCTGAGTGCTGGGATTAAAGGCGTGCGCCACCAACGCCCAGCCACTACTACAGTAACTCTTATAAATAATTAATTAAGGCTGGTTTACAGTTTCAGAGGTTTTGTCCATTACTGTCATAGTGGGAAGCAAGGCAACTTGCAGGCAGACATGATGCTGGAGTAGCAGCTGAGAGTCCTCCATATGGATCCACTGGCAGTAGAAAGAGAGAGACTCTGGGCTGGACTTGGCTTGGACCCTTTAAACCTCAAGGCTCCCCCCCCCCCCAGTGATATGCTTCCCCCGACAAGGCCACACCCCCTAATCCTCTAAAATTGTGCCACTCCCTGGTCACCAAGCATTTAAATTTGAGTCTATGGGGGTCATTCCTATTCAGACCACCTCAGGGTCGACGTGTGTGATAGGTGGACATTGGTGTCATCGTGGATTGCTCTCCACCTTCCTTATCTCGGCAGAGTATCACACTGAGCCTAGACCTTGCAGATTTTGGCTAGTCTAGTTGACCAGCTTGGCCCCAGGATCCCGTGTTTTTCTCTCCCAAGTGTTAGGATTACAGGTGGCTTTTATGCCTAGTCAAATTCTAGATGGATTCTGCCCCTCAGTATTGAGGGATGATTAAAAAGACTAGAACCTTATCTACTGGAGTGTCCTTCCAGCCCTGGTTCTTTTGGTGTTTAGATATGGTCTCATATAGCCCGGGCTGGCTTTGAATTCCACAGAGGACAGCCTTGAACATCCTACCTTCTTGCCTTGTTGCCTTACCTCCTAAATGCTGGGATAGCAGATATGCACCAACACAGGCAGTGATTCTGAGAATCACCTACATCTGAGCCCAAGCAGGTGTCTGATGTGTGTGTGTGTGAACGCCCTGTGTATTGTGTGTGTATGGAGGACAAAAGGTCCATGTCAGCTCGCTCGCTCGCTCCCTCCCTCTCTCTCTCTCTCTCTCTCTTCTCTCTCTCTCTCTCTCCCCCCCTTATATTGAGACTGTTTCTTCTTGTTCCATAGAATGGCTGATCAGCAAGCCTTGTGGCCCTTCCTGTCTCTGAGTGTGAATCAGAGGTGCTGAATGCCCTGGTTCAGATTTTTGAAAACATAGCTCTGTTTGAAAGACCCCCAGGCCCCTAAGGGGCACAGGGTCCCGAGGAGCCCCCCAAGACTCAGAAACCAGACCAAGAGCTGCAAAAGCAAGAGGGTTTATTGAACAAATGCACATTTGGTGTCAGCAATATCGGGAAAGCTGCACACCCTAGCACGGGGTGCAAGCTCCTTATATAGAAAAAAAACGTTGATCAGCATACAGGCAAGGGGCACAAAGTGATTGATTACAAAGTATGATCTCATGTTAGAGTGGTCACCCAGTTGTGACCTGCTTTTCTACAAAGGAAAAGCCACAGAATGTACCCTGAAAAGTCCTCAATTGTTTGTTGGCCAGGTGTGACCCAAAAAGGATTGTTTGTTTGCCTTAGAGTTGGGGCCAATTTCCTTGTCCTGGGCCAAGGCCTGTGGGAAACTTTTTCTCTCTGTTAACTAAAATCTTTCAAAACTTTTTCTCTCAGCAAACTAAAATCTTTCATGAAGAATGATCTAAAAGTAGCAGGGCTTGGTTGTACACACCTTTAATCCCAGTACTCAGCAGGCAGAGGTGGATTTCTGTGAGTTCTTGGTCAGCCTGGTCCAGGATAGCCTAGCTTATATAGAGAGATCTTGTTTCAAAACAAAAAATAAATGGGGCTTGCTGGTATATTGGCCTTTAATCCAATTGGAAGTAGAGGTAGGAGGATCTTGGTGAGTTCCAGGGTATCCTGGTCTATGTAGGAAGCTACAGGCTACACAGTGTGACCCTGTCTCAAAAATAATGACAACAACAAAAAACCCAAAACTAAACAAAACAAGAAAACAAAGTGGTGGCGCACGCACGTCTTTAATCCCAGCACTCGGGAGGCAGAGGCAGGGGGATCTCTGTGAGTTCGATGCCAGTCTGGTCTATAGATCGAGTCCCAGGATAAACAGAGCTACAGAGAGAAACTCGAAAAACCAAAAAATAAAAGTAAATTAATATGTATGGGTATTTTGCCTGCACAAGGTGCATTCTGAGTCCACGGAGGCCATAGAGGGCGTCAGATCTGGAGTTACAGGCCGCTGTGAGCCTCCCTGTGCCTGCTCGGGGACGGGGCCCTCGTCCTTTGTCCTTTGCAAGAACAGCAGTGCCGCCGGCCGGCCCTCCAGCCCTCCAGCTCGGTTTATTATTACTGTGTGTAAGGAGGGGCGTGTTCACCTGGGACTCAGGACCATCTTGAGGCATCTCGGAGCCGTTGCTAACATTTTTTGTTGTTCCTGTTTTGTTCCCAAATGTACATACTTCTGATTTCCCCCTCACCCTTGCACACACTCAGATTTCATTTCTTCCCGAAAAGTGACTACGTAGTTTTCTAATTAAAAAAAAACCCACCCTGACGTCATCAACCGAAACCACGCCCCCAAACGGCAACAGCGTTCTCTCAGAGCGTCCCGAGAGCGGAAGTGACGCAACGCACATGCGCCTGACTGCAAGGCGAGCTCGGAACCGGCTGGTCGCGTGCGCTTCCGGAAGTGGCCGCGTCCTCAGCATGCTGGCGGAGCTCGGTTTCATCGGGACCATCGGCGAAGATGACGAGGTGCCGGCGGAGCCCGAGTCGGACTCCGGGGACGAGGAGGAGGAGGTGGGAGCCTGCGGACGACCGCGGCGGGGGAAGCGGCGGTGGGCGGGGCGGCCGGGAAGGAGTTGCGGGCCCCGGGCCCTCCCAGTCCGCACGCAGCCGTCTCACCCAGGCTGGGCAGAGTCGACCCCCGCAGGCCGAGTCAGTCGTGCTTCCTGCCCAGCCCGGGGCACCGTGCTCCCTTCTATCCCCCCAGGCGTGGGTTGGGCGGTCGGGAGGCAGCCTTGGGTGAGTGGCCACAGAAAAAAAAATAAATCCAAAAAAACTGCGTGCCTCACTGTCATCTGCCTGCCTGACATGGCCCTTCGGATGGCCCACGGCCTCTGCAGTCGAAATCCGAGAATGCTAAACGCTAAGGCTCCATGCAGCGTTTGCATCTCAGGATGCAACGGCGAGGTCGTTCCTGACGGCTTGGCCTCCTCCATCTGGTGGTCTGCAGGCCGATTTAGGAGGCTGTCCGACGCTTCTGCCCTCCGACCACCCACGCTATTCTTTAATCCTCCCACTGCCGAGTCGCAGCTGGACACCTGCAGCCCTCACCTGGTTTCCACTTTGTCCCGTCCTCTTCTAGTAGTCTCTTCACATAGCAACAGAGTGGTCTTCCTGATGCGGTCCCCTTGGAACTGCCCCTTGCTCCCAACCCTGCAGCTGCTTTCCTGTGGCTTTCAGGGTGGGTCAGGCCCTGTCCTTTCCACCATTTGATGCTCACAGCCCTGGTCATGACTGTCTCCACCCCACCCCCGGTGTGGGTGTGTGTTCCATGCTTGAAGGTGTATATGCAGGTGCAGTGTGTGTGTGTGTGTGTGGGTACATACGCTGTTGGCAGGCCAAAGGTTAGTGGGCAGAGCACCAAGTGTCGTTCCTCAGGAGCTGTCCACTTTGTTCCTGGAGACAGATCTCTTACTGGATTAAAGCACCCGTTAGACTAGGCTAGGCTTGCTAGTCAGCCCCTGGGGATATGTCTGTTTCTGCCCTCGCAGAGGTTTTGGAAACAGGGTTTCTCTGTGTAGGCCTGGCTGTCCTGGAACTCGATCTGTAGACCAAACTGGTCTCTGCCGGGATTAAGGTGCTGAGATGGTGTGTGCCGCCGAGCCCCACCAGATGACGACTCTTTGGCACCTAGTGTGGGACCTGTGTATATTAGGTACTCAATTGCTGTGCCTTTTTTTCTCGGCTTTACTGAGGTATAATAATGTAGTTTTGTAAATATAAGGTATACAATGTGATGATTTGATAATGTGTGTGTTATTATTGTTATTGTTATCTATTAATATTATTGAGACATGGTCTTCCTTTAATAGCCCTGGCTGTCCTGGAACTCGTTTGTGTAGACTAGGCTGACTTCAGACTCAGAGATACACCTGCTTCTGCCTCTGAGTGCTGGGATTAAAAGTGTGAGCCACAGCCGGGCCTTGGTGGTGCACGCCTTTAGTTCCAGCACTCGGGAGGCAGAGGCAGGGGTCTGTCTGTCTGTCTGTCTGTCTGTCTGTCTGTCTGTCTGTCTGTCTGTCTGTCTGTCTGTCTGTCTGTCTGTCTGTCTGTCTGTCTGTCTGTCTGTCTGTCTGTCTGTCTGTCTGTCTGTCTGTCTGTCTGTCTGTCTGTCTGTCTGTCTGTCTGTCTGTCTGTCTGTCTGTCTGTCTGTCTGTCTGTCTGTCTGTCTGTCTGTCTGTCTGTGTCAGAGAGAGAGAGAGAGAGAGAGAGAATATATATAGAAAATGAAGTTAGTTTTTGTACTTCTGGCAGTACTGGGAATTGAACCTAGGTCCTCACTCATGCTAGGCAAGTGCTCTTTCACTGAACTACAGTCCCCAGCCTTTGTATCTTAGTAAGGTTTCTGTTGCTGTGATGGAACACCATGACCAAAAGCAATTTGGGGAGGGAAGGGTTTATGTCAGCCAATAGTGCCACATCCATCATCATAGGAAGTCAGGGCCGGAACCTGGAATCAGGAACTGAAGCAGAAGCCATGGCGAAATGCTTACTGGTTTGCTCAGCCTGCTTCCCTGTACAAATCGGGACTACCTGCCTAGGAGTGGCACCTCCCATGGTGAGCCGAACCCATCTAGATCAATCATTAATGGATGGACAGACTTTTTGGAAGGAAGCTTGTTAGGTGTTTGACCAGATTTTCTATGGACTTACTTTTGGCCTTTATAGACTACTGATGACCCACTTAAGGTGTGTTAAAAACCTCCAGGACAGTTGTAATCTGGTCACTTGCTTATTGTCCAACCATATTTGCCTTATATGTTTCTTTTGTTTTCTGTGTGTTGATTCCAACCCAGGGCCTCAGAACACTCTAGGCAGGCTCTTCCCACTGATCCGTGCTCCCAGCTGTGGGTTTCTCCTATTAGGCCTCCTCCCTTTCCTCTTCCTGTTCTGCTGTTCCTCCATCTCAGCCTGTCACTTCACCTCTCCTTGCAGGGGCCCATTGTACTGGGCCGTAAGCAGAAAGCCTTGCAGAAGAACCGAAGTGCTGACTTCAACCCGGATTTTGTTTTCACGGAGAAGGAGGGCATGTATGATGGCAGCTGGGCCCTGGCTGATGTCATGAGCCAGCTCAAGAAGAAGGTGAGACTGACAGAGATGCATTTTCGGTGATGGGCTGTTAAGGTTGGACAGTAAGTAGGTGTTAGGATAAAACTCTTTAATTTTGGGGGGGGGGTGGTTCAAGACAGGGTTTCTCTGTGGCTTTGGAGACTGTCCTGGAACTAGCTCTTGTCGATCAGGCTGGTCTTGAACTCACAGAGATCTGCCTGCTTCTGCCTCCCAAGTGCTGGGATTAAAGGTGTACCACCACACTCTTATCTCATGGCTTTTTACCTTTATCTTATATTCAGCAGCTTTTGGAACCCTTTGAAAATGAGTTCTGTAGGTTTGATGGGTTAGGGAGAGGAGGCTACAAGCATCCCACAGTCCTCATGAATTACCAGTAGTAGAAAGCACTTTAAAATGGTCCTATTTTTTGATAATAGCCAGAAATATATTGATTTGTCTACAGCTGACATTTAGAAGTATAGCAGTATCTTGTTACAGTTGGTGAGATGGTAAGGGCACTTGTAACCTGATGACCTAACCCTGATCCCTGGGACCCATGTGGCAGAAGGGGAGAACTGAGTCTCACTGGGTGTCCTCTGACCTCCACATGCTCTCTGTGGCTCTTGTCTGCAGCACCTGCTTCAGTAAATGAGTAAATGCAGTTTTTTCTTTGTTTATTAAATGCCCATACCTGGGCATGGTGGCATATGCTGTAAGCCTAGCACAACAGAGGGGAAGTATGTATGCATGCAGTGCCCTTCGAGTCTGGAAGACGGAGTCAAATCTAGGACTGCAGTCACACATGAACTCAGGTCCTCCAAAAGGGCAGCTCTATTCTTAACTGAGCTGAGCTCTCTCTGTCTAACATAAGATTTATTTTATTCTTTTTGTTGTGTGTGTGTGAGTGTGTGTGTGTGTGTGTGTGTGTGTGTGTGTATCTGCCAGGTGTGTACTGTTTCCCATGGAGGCTAGAACAGGGAGCCAGATCCTTTGATGCTAGAGATAAAGATGTCTTTGGGCTGCCTAGTATGGTTGTTGGAAGTAGAACTTAGGCTCTGTAATTTGAGTGACAAGTGATCTTAACTGCTGATTCATCTCTCCAACCTCTAAAATAGTCTTTTTTTTTTTTTTTTTTTTTTAAATGTGTTTATATTGGCTCTTAGCAATCTAGCTTTTTAAAAAAAAACAATTAGTGCCGGGTGTTGGTGGCTCACGCCTTTAATCCCAGCACTCAGGAGGCAGAGGCAGGCGGATCTCTGTGAGTTTGAGGCCAGCCTGGTCTCCAGAGCAAGTGTCAGGATAGGCTCCAAAGCCCCAGTGAAACCCTGTCTCGAAAAAAACCAAAATAAATAAGTAAATAAATAAAGCAGTTATTTAACTAATTGTTTTTTTGAGGCAGGGTTTCTTTGTAGTCTTGGCTGTCCTGGAACTGGCTCTGTAGACTAGGCTAGGTCTCTGACTCATAGAATTCACCTGCATCTTCCATCTGAGTGCTGGGATTAAAGGCATGTCCTTTTATTTTTATTTGATACTTTCTTTTTTAAAAATGTAATGTTCATATATACATGTACTTTGTTTGGATCCAATCCTGTTTTGGTTGTCAACAGTGTGCAGGTTTATAGGTTGCCTGATAGCCTGAGGACCTTAGGTAGGGTGATACTCTACAGGCCTGGTTGGCCTGAACTCTCTTCGTAGCCAAGACTGCCTTTGACTTCATGACCTTTTGCCTCAGTCTCCCAAATGCTGGATTGCAGGTGTGAGCCACCATGCCTAGCTCAGACAAGCCTTTTCTGTGCTTAACATTTGAGGCCTGACCCTCTGACATACCTGTTAGGTGTCCTTTGTGCATATACATTTCTTTTTCCTGTCTTGATTTTATCTGCAGAGGGCAGCCACAACCCTAGATGAGAAGATTGAGAAAGTACGGAAGAAAAGGAAAGCAGAGGTAAGACTGAACACAGGTGGTGGTCTGGTGGTGGTTGTAGATGCGCTCTGGCTGTCAGAGAGTGGTGGGTGGCAGGAAGAGATGGTACAGCCCTTACTGCCTGGCCACACAGCCTCTTCTGCCGTTGAGCTCCGTACAGCTCCTCTTAGGTACGGAATTTCCGGTGTTGATAGTCACCTCTCTACTTTATTTTGCCCCAGGATAAGGAAGCCAAGTCTGGGAAGGTAGAGGAGAAAGAAGGCAGGGAGAGCTGTGATCTGAAGGGGCAGGAGGATCTGGGAGGGAATGAGGCAGACTCCAAGGACGAAGACTCTGAGACTGACTACTCCTCTGGGGATGAGGAGGTCCTCACTAAAGCAGGTAGGCCGGTGCTGAGTTTTGGAAACAGGGCCGGAAGTGGATGGGATGCATGCACCTTGCCTGTTGGAGCTGTGCTGTCTCCCTGCAGTGATGGGATGCCTGCCCTACCTTTGGTTCTCTCTTCAGTTGGCCCTCTGTCAGGTGCTCATTCTGTGCAGGCAGCTGCTGCTTTCCTCGTCCTTAGCTCCATACAGTGTTGGTTCATCTACAACTCATCTCCTTGGGGTGATTCACCCATGTAGCGGGGGCTTCGATGACCATTTTGGTAGAATTGACTAACATGTCAGTGTTGAGTTATGATGAGATCCTACTGTCTACATTGTACTTGCCGGGCTGGGGTCCTGTCTGTATTTAATGGAGAAGTTTTGCTACATGACAGCACTGAGGACAGGGAAAGCAGAGGCAGGCGCTGGTACAATGGGCCATGCTCACTGCTGTGTTTTCCCATAGACACACTGAAAGTGAAGGAGAAGAAGAAGAAGAAGAAGAAGAAGAAGGGCCAGGTGAGTCTGGGTGTGAGGTCGCAGGGCAGCTCTCGTTCACATGCAGGCTCGGGTTGCTTTGCTGAGTTCTCTTCTGGTCTGGTGCAGGAAGCAGGAGGATTCTTTGAAGATGCCTCTGAGTATGACAAAAGCCTCTCCTTCCAGGACATGAATCTGTCCCGGCCCCTCCTGAAGGTAGTAGCTTTGACAGTGGGGGTTGATCCTTTTTTGATTGATTGAATTCTCTCTGTGTGCATGGGCTCATATGAAGCATGCATGTTTGTGTGCTGGGGCCTGTGGAAGCCAGAAGAGGGCTAGGCCTTGAACTCCTGATCCTCCTGCCTTCATCTTCCAAGAGCTGGGATGCAGGTGTGCATCTCACAAGCAGCTGACGAGGGTTGAGTCTTGCAGTGGTCCCTGTATAGGCTTTAGTATTCCTCTTCGAGCCCCTCAACACACTGTTACCTGCTCAGCTGCCAGAGAGCCCTCCTGAGCAGACCCGCCAGCTCTCAAGGCTCCCACTTTCACATTGACTTACAGACTTCTTTCTCTCCTGGTTCCTTTTTTTTATTATTGTGAGGGGGGAGCAGGGTTTCTCTACATAGCTTTGTAGACCAGTCTGGCCTCGAACTCGCCTCTGCCTCCTGAGTGCTGGGATTAAAGACATGCACCACCACCGCCTGGCTCTCTTCTGGTCCCTTTTGAAGACAATTGTAGCTCTTTACTCCTTTGAACTTTCTGCTCCCTCTGCTTGAAAGACACTTCTTCCAGAAATCTACTGGGGTGTTCCTTCACCCCCTCAGGATTCAGTGAGCCTTCCCCTGGCACCCCTGCTGTGACTTGTACTTCCTCTCTAGTTGTCTCAAGCTTCTATGTGGCCTCATTTACTTTTCTCTTTAGAATGGACGGTTTTCTAGTCTGTTTCTTTCTGCCGGTTCCCAAAGCAAGGGTTTTCTTTTTGTCTTCTGCTGTCCTGGGTGTAGCTGGTGCCTTAGGCTCTGGAGGGAAGGCACTCAGGAAGTTGCCTATCCTTGGAAGGCTTGGTATAGTTATCTTGTTGTTTGCTATGACTCCCTCCCTGACCATCTACCCTGTCTGACTGTAACTTTTCTCCTCAGGCCATTACAGCCATGGGCTTCAAGCAGCCCACCCCAATCCAGAAGGCTTGTATCCCTGTGGGTCTGCTGGGAAAAGACATCTGCGCCTGTGCAGCCACTGGGACAGGTGAAGGGCAGGCGGGGCAGGAGGCCAGGGCACTCGAGGGCTCTAGGTTGCTATATACACTTGGCTTTTTTTTTTCTCGAGACAAGGTTGCCCTGTATTGCTTTGGAGGCTGTCCTGGAACTCACTATGTAGACCAGGCTGGCCTGGAACTTACAGAGATCCCACTTGCCTCCACCTCCCGAGTGCTGGGAATAAAGGCGTGCACCACTAGTGCCCGGAACACTTGGCTTTTAAAGATTTATTTATTTTATTTACGTGTATGAGTATTTTACTTTTATGTATGTACATGTACCATGCATGTGCAGGCATGTGGAGGCCAGAAGAGGGTGTTGTATACCCTGTAACTGGGGTTATAGACTACAAACTGCTATGTGGGTGCTGGGAAACCAACCCAGGTCCTCTGCAAGAGCAGTGAGTTTTCTTAACCACTGAGTCATCTCTGCAACCTTTCGCTCCACTTGGCTTTTTGAACTGTAGGAAAAGATTATAAAGCCAGATATAGTTGTATATTCCTCCAATTCCAGAACTGAGACAGAAAGATTGTACATTGTTGCCCAGTCTGGGCTATATATCTTATCTTATATTTTTGGTTGTGAGCCTAGCCTTTAACGGCTGAGCCATCTCTCCAGCCCTAGAAAGACTATCTTAAAAGGAAAGAAAATCTGGCTAGGTTGTGGTGGCACATGCCTTTGATCCCAGCACTTGGAAGGCAGAGGCAGGCGGATCTCTGTGATTTGGAGCCCAGCCTTGTCTACAAAGTGAGTTCCAGAGCAGCCGAGACAGTTACATAGAGAAACCAAGTCTCAAAAAACAACCCTCCCGTCCCCCAAAAAAGATTTATTTTTTATTATGTGTATCTGTGTAAATCTGTGTGTGGGTATATGTAGTATGGGTGCAGGTGTCCACAGAGTTCAGAAGAGGATGCCGGGTCCCCTAAGGTGGGGTTACAGGCAGTTGGGAGCTGTCTGGCATGAGTGCTGGGAACTGCACTCTCTAGAAGAGCAGTATTGGGTTTTAAGCATGATTCCAGCCCTTCGACTGATGTTTTTATTTATTATTATTATTATTATTATTATTATTATTATTATTATAGATTTTATTTATTTATTATATGTACAACCTTGTGCCTGCATGCCAGCAGAGGGCATCAGATCTCATTCAAGGTGGTTGTGAGCCGCCATGTGGTTGCTGGGAATTGAACTCAGGACCTCTGGAAGAGCAGTCAATGCTCTTAACCTCTGAGCCATCTCTCCAGCCCCACAATGAAGTCTCTTATGAATGCTGAGCTTTGTTTCTGGCGTCCACTGGTGTTGGGGTGGGGATAGGATGCCATTGCCATTGGGTCCTCTGGAGAGCACCTAGCCTGGTAACAGTTATTCTTTTCTCTTAAGTTTTTCTCTTAAGTTTACATTGACCTTGTTTGACAGGGGGGGAAAACAATTCCTTGCATAGGGCTCATGTTTCCAAGGCAGAGATGTGGGTTCCTGTGCTCTGGTGGAATCAAAGCATGGAAGGTGCTAAACCTGCTGTCTGCTCTCCTATTCTCCCTCCAGGCAAAACTGCAGCTTTTGCGTTGCCTGTCTTGGAGCGTCTGATCTACAAGCCCCGCCAGGCTGCAGTCACTCGAGTGCTGGTGCTGGTCCCTACCAGAGAGCTGGGCATCCAGGTGCACTCCGTCACCAAGCAGCTGGCCCAGTTCTGCAGTGTCACTACATGCCTGGCTGTGGGTAAGTGAGGGCCACTAGCCTTTGGGGGCTTTGCTGTGATAGACAGAGGATGGGATGTGCTTCACCCCACCCCCAGGTGTCAGGAAAAGACCTTTTTGCTGATTGGATCCACCTAAAAATCAGTTGACATATTTTCATAATGGACATAGAGGCAAGAGAAGACATTTCAATAAGATTTAACATTGTTTTGTCTAGTTTTACATTTTTGAGGTAAGGTTTCCCTCTGTAGCCCAGGTTGACTTAGAACTATATAGGTTAGGGCTAGAGAGATGACTCAGAGGTTAAGAGCACTGCTTGCTCTTCCAGTGTCCTGAGTTCATTTCCCAGCACCCACATGGTGACTCACAGCCATCTATAATGGGATCTGGTGCCCTCTTCTTGCCTGCAGGCATACATGCAGGAGTATTTTTCCATTATTATGTATACATAATAAATAAATAAATCTTAAAAAATGAATAATAATAAAAAGAACTATGTAGGTTAGTTTGGCCTCAAACACAGCAATCCTTCTGACTTACCTTCTTGCTACTAAGTGAGATTATAGGTATGAGCCACCGCACTCAGCAGGACTTAACCTCTTGAATTTGTGGTGCTGGGGATTGAATCTCTGACCTTTTGCATACTATATCACTGACCTGCATTCCTACTCTGAAAACTTAACCTTGGGGCTGGAGAGTTGGGCTAGTGGTTCAACACACTTGCTGTTCAGTTGTAATTCAGGACCTGGGTTTCAGTTCCAACATCCACATGGTAACTCACAACTGTCTGTAACTTCAGTTCTGAGGGATCTGACATTTTCTTCTGACCTCATAGGGCCTCAGCACCAGGTGTGCACATGGTGTACTTAACACATGCAGGTAAAAGACTAGTGCACATGACAAAATGAAACAAACTTTAAATAAAAGCCTGGTGTGTGACAAAGGCCTTTAATTCCAGCACTCAGGAGGCACGGGGAGGCCAGTCTTTGTGAGTTGGAGGCCAGCCTGGTCTACAGAGAAAGTTCCAGGACTGCACAGTGAGATCCTGTCCACAAACCCAAAGAAGACTTAACCTTGAGAAGGAAAATTGAGGGTTGGGGATGGAGTTCCGTGTATCGGGCTTGTGTAGTTTCTGCTAGTCTTTGGGTTCCACTCCTAGTAACACACAGACAGTATTATTTTTCCATAAAATCTTGGGTAATCCTTGTACTTGGGAGGATGAAGTGGGGTCATTGCCAGCCTGGTCTACATGGTGAGGGTAAGACCCTGTCTCAAACCGAGGCTTCAGACTTTTTCTTGGTACTGAATAAGTTTAGGATAAAATTTCTGCTTATTGCAAATAAGTGTTTTGGGAGGATATTCCCTGGTGAGGTTCAAGTGTCATCTAGTCTCTTACCCTCTGTATGTAGTTGGAAGTCAGGGGTGACCTTGGTCTTCATGTACAGGTACTGTCATCAGTTTATATAGCTGATCTCTCAGACCTCTCAGTCATTCAATTCTGAAGTGCTGTTTTGATGTCTGCCCTCAGTCTGAATGTAATGAATACATCTGCTTCATTGAGAAATCTTGTCTTTTTCCCTATGTGTGTTTCTACGTTTGGCCTGAGCTCCAAAAAGTAGCACTGATGAATGATTGGCCAAGCCATCCCCTGGGGGGTCTGTTCTCTGCAGGTGGCCTGGATGTGAAGTCTCAGGAAGCTGCTCTTCGGGCAGCACCAGACATCCTCATTGCCACACCTGGCCGGCTCATCGACCACCTGCACAACTGCCCTTCGTTCCACCTGAGCAGCATTGAAGTGCTCATCCTGGATGAGGCTGACAGGTATGCCTGAGCGCAGGGCCTGCACTGTTACCCTGTGGTGCTCATCAAGGTGCTTGGTCAATGGCATGTAAAACCATTTAACTACACACTTCATCTCTGTCCAGATTTAGTTCAGGTTTCCCTGGGTATGCATGTGTGCTGTCCCCCGCCCCTCCTCCTCCCCTCTCTGGAGGGAGCTGTTCAAGAGGTAGGAGAGGGCATTCAGAAACAGGGCTGCATGCCTGTAATCCCAGCACTGGAAGACTGGGAGACTGAGGCAGCACACATAGCAAGTTTCAGACCAGCCTGGATACAGAGTGAAAATATGTCTCCAAAAAAGGCCAAATAATGTGAGCTTTACCGTTTCCCAGTGTTGGAGGACGTGACTGAGATCCTTAGAACAAGTCTTGTCTGTACATGGGAATACAAACAGCGTCCACAGGACAGTGCAGTGAGTAATGCAGGGGAGGGAACGTAGCCTCTACAGGACAGTGCAGAGAGTAATGCAGGGGAGGGAACATAGCCTCTACAGGACAGTGCAGAGAGGAATGCAGGCGAGGGAACATAGGCTCTACAGGACAGTGCAGAGAGGAATGCAGGCGAGGGAACATAGGCTCTACAGGACAGTGCAGAGAGGAATGCAGGCGAGGGAACATAGGCTCTACAGGACAGTGCAGAGAGGAATGCAGGCGAGGGAACATAGGCTCTACAGGACAGTGCAGAGAGGAATGCAGGCGAGGGAACATAGCCTCTACAGGACAGTGCAGAGAGTAATGCAGGCGAGGGAACGTAGCTTCCACAGACCATCTCCAGGACTGCCCTCTCCATGTCTCCCTCCCTCCACATTTCTGCCCCTTCCACGCCACCCCTTTCTCTCTTGTTCATTTGCTTGCTGTCCCAAGTGGACCAGTGATGGAGGTCAGTTGGGAGGATGGTTCGCCCTCACTGTGAGCCCTGGAAGAACTGAGCAGTGCCTCACATGTGCTTCTCCTCAGCTCACTAATGACAGTCCAGTCCTTCCCGTTGTTCAGCTCTGTGTTCACATCTGTGGTGTACCCATTGGTAAATCCTGTTAGCACCCACCGTGGGGCTCTTTCTGAGCACAGCACTATCTCCTTAACCTGCTTCAAGTTTCTGTAAGCCCTAAACTAGCAGCCTTGTGCCAAGGATGGCTTATCCGTCCAGTCACCAGGGCACAAGACAAATCCCTAGAGAACAAGCTGAGGGGATGTTCTAGATGGAGACTAAAGAGGTGTAACTACCAGCTGCAATACAGAAGCATTTGGGGCAACAGTGGAGGAGGTTTGGTCTTGTCCGAACACATATACTACTGATGTGGGTTATTGTCCATCAGTAGTATATGCTGAGATATTTGGGATAAATTGTCATAATCTCAGTGCCTTGCAGAATTGAAGGGTGGAGATAACAGTGAGGGGGAGATAACAATGGTCCCAGGATAAACATGAGATCGAATACAACCTTGGCCTGTGTGATACCATGACCCTCACTCTTTTTTTTTTTTTTCCCCCCCGAGACAGGGTTTCTCTGTGGTTTTGGAGGCTGTCCTGGAACTAGCTCTTACAGATCAGGCTGGTCTCCAACTCACAGAGATCCACCTGCCTCTGCCTCCCGAGTGCTGAGATTAAAGGTGTGCGCTACCAACACCCGGCTCATGACCCTCACTCTTGACACAAGAGCTCGTTTATTCTTTCTTTCTTTCTTTCTTTCTTTCTTTCTTTCTTTCTTTCTTTCTTTCTTTCTTTCTTTCTTTCGGTTTCTCAAGACAGGGTTTCTCTGTGTAGCTCTTGGCTGTCCTGGAGTTGACCAGGCTGGCCTCTAACTCAGATCCCCCTGCCTGTGCCTCCTAAGTGCTGGGATAAAAGGTGTGTACCACCACCACCACCTGTCCAAAGAGCTCTTCAGCAATCTGTCCCCTTCTTCCAGAATGCTGGATGAATATTTTGAGGAGCAGATGAAGGAGATTATTCGAATGTGTTCCCACCACCGCCAGACCATGCTCTTTTCAGCCACCATGACAGATGAGGTGGGTGTGCCTAGTGGCATGCAGAGGAACCCTGCTGGGCAAGCCCTCTTTTCTTTGTTCTCCATCTTTCTGAGCTGAGCAGCTCTGACCCTGTGCTTGGCAGGTGAAAGATCTGGCTTCCGTCTCCTTAAAGAACCCTGTGCGGATATTTGTGAACAGCAACACAGACGTAGCTCCCTTTCTTCGGCAAGAGTTCATACGGATCCGGCCTAACAGGGAAGGGGACCGGGAAGCAATTGTGGCAGGTGAAGGCCCAGGGCAGGACTTGATAGGGTTGTTGTCTGCATTCATGCCCTTTTTTATTTTTTGGCCTCCAGCTGTGTCCATCCATTTCCCCCAGCTCAAGCAGTGACATTGCTTGTCAGCCATCGCAAGTTGTATCTTTGGGGAGGCCAGCTGTCCTGCTGCCTCCCATTTTCCTCACTCCGTGATGTTGACCACACTGGGGAGCTGGAATGCGAGCCCCAGTCTGCCCAGTGCTGGCTCACTCTTCTCCCTCCAGCTTTACTGATGAGAACCTTCACTGACCACGTGATGCTGTTCACCCAGACCAAGAAGCAGGCTCACCGCATGCACATTCTGCTGGGGCTGCTGGGGCTGCAGGTGGGCGAGCTCCATGGCAACTTGTCACAGACACAGCGGCTGGAGGCCCTCCGGTAATACTCAGGGTACTACCCTCCTGGGTGGGTCTGGGGGAGCTTGTTGTGTAAAGAACTAGGACCCTGGGAGTTGTGGTAGAGCAGTGTCAGGGAACACAAATAGTGCAGTGTCCCTGCACAATAGAGACAGTTGACCTAAACCAGTGTCTGCTATCATACATGTGGTCCCAGCTTCTTGGGAGACTGGTGAGAATCACTGGTGTCTCAGAAAATATTTAGTTTTAAGATTACACGTAATTAGAACTCGCCTGACCTTTGAGCAAGTTGCCCTCATTGCTCTCCTGTGGAGCCCCAGCAGAAAACACATGGTCAGTGTGTGGCTTTCCTGGAAGCTCACATCAGCTGACTGAGACTCACACGTGGGCGCAGTCACTTCGTGAGCATCAGCGCTTTGGCCACTGCGTTGCAGAGGAGAGCTGCAGGCAGGGGTCCCTCAGAACTCCCCTCACTCCTGCCTGTTCATTACATGCTGAGAGGTGTGTGTGAAGCCAGGAAGCCCCACCCCAGCAGTTGAGGCTCTGGCCTCTGCTCTCAGCTGTAGTTAGATTGATGTTCCCAAATTTGAGTTTGACGGGAATTGCTTCCTGAGACAGTACACACCTGACCTGCTATGCTTAGGCAGTGGTGATTAAGGGTGAGTGTAGGGCGGCTGGCATTTAACTCTGTGCTCATGGGCTGGGGGCGTGGCTCTAGTAGAAGGCTTGCACAAGATTCCCATCTTTTCCTTGTTCCAGCTACCTCCATAAATTAAATATATACACACTATGATGAACCACACCCTGTTGCTTGGACTCTAGGAGGATTTATGGTGACTTTATTTTATTTGTTTGAATTATTTATTTTTGGTTTTCAAAACAGCGTGTCTCTGTGTTTGCTCTGGCTGTCCTGGAACTCATTGTATAGACCAGGCTGACCTCAAACTGCTTGCCTCTGCCTCCATCTCCTGATTTCGGGGATTTAAGGTGTGCGTCACCGCTTACCAACTTTCTTATTTTTCAATCCATGTTTTATTTGTTTGTTTTTGGTGCTTGGATGTGTGCCATGGTGCAAGTGTGGAGGTCAGAAATTACTTGCAGAAATCAGTTCTCTCCTACCATGTGGGTCCCAAGGATTGAACTGAGGTCCTCAGGCTTGGTAGCAAGTGCCTTTACCTACTGAGCCATCTCGTGGTTTTGGACTGAGGTAGCTTATTGAACATCTCTGTGGCTCTTTCTAGGCGCTTTAAGGATGAACAGATTGACATCCTGGTGGCCACAGATGTGGCAGCACGTGGGCTTGACATTGAAGGAGTGAAAACAGTGAGTGAGTCTTCCTCTGCTTGCTGTTGGTGGGGTCCTTCCGCCTCCCTGCGCCTGCCCAGCAAACACCTCGATGCTTGGCCTGCTCTCCAGGTGATCAACTTCACCATGCCCAACACTGTCAAGCACTATGTGCACCGGGTAGGGCGAACTGCACGTGCTGGCAGGGCTGGGCGCTCTGTCTCTCTGGTGGGAGAAGAGGAGCGGAAGATGCTGAAGGAGATTGTGAAGGCTGCCAAGGCTCCAGTGAAGGCACGGATCATCCCCCAGGGTGAGCAGCACAAGGTGCTGGGCTCAGGCAGAGGATGATACCAAGAGCTCTGCAGTCAGGCAGCCCAGGTCCCCTGGACAGGCCTCCTCCTCCCTGGGTGTCAGGCTGTGTACCAACGGATGATGATAAAATGGTAGATGTAGGGTCCAGCTCATCAGAATTTTCTTAGAAGTTAAGAGAGGCCTTTATGTCATTGACTCCCCATTCCTTTTGGTGGGCAAGAAGGTGGGGCTCGCACTCATTCTTTTTTTATTTTTATTTGTTTTGGTTTTGTTTCTTTTTTAAGAAATTTAATTATTATATATATATAGTGTTCTGCCTGCCTGTGTTTATGCTTGCAGACCAGAAGAGGGTGCCAGACATTACAGATGGTTGTGAGCCACCATATAGTTGCTGGGAATTGAACTCAGGGACCTCTGAAGAACAGCCAGTGCTCTTAACCGCTGAGCCATCTCTCCAGCCCTTATTTCCATGTTTGAGACAGGGTCTCTTTGTGTGACAGCCCTGGCTGTCCTGGAACATGCTTTCTTGCCTCTGCCTCCTGTGTGCTAGCAGGGTGCACCACCGTGCCTGGCTTTGGCTTACCTATTGTAATGCTAGAAAGTTGAGTGTCGTTGTTGGAATCAGTGATGTGAGCTCATTGCTGTCCACACTGGGGCACACACAGCCTTCACTGTCTCCTACTTGTAGATGCCCTTTTTTCTAGTTTCTTTTTAATTTGTCTTGAGAATGTATCTATTTTTATTTTCTGTGTGCCGGTGTTCTGACTGTATGAATGTCTACGTACCACGTGTGTATGTTGTTCTTGGAGACCAGGAGAGGGCAGCGTATCATCTAGAACTGGAGATTCAGATGATTGTGGGCCACATGAGGGTGCGGTGCACCCAGTCCATGTCCCTGAAGAACAGTCAGTGCTCCTCCAGACCCTTTTCTCCATTTTTATTTTAGGGTGTCAGTCAGGGAATAGAATAGCTCTTGTGTGCTCAGTCTCAGTGCTGCTGTCCTAGTGGTCTGGGATTGAGCAGGGAACAACAGCTGATGTGATATCAAAGTCAGTGAGGTAATAATCAGTGTCACTGAGAGCCACAGGGAGGCTTAGAAAACCTGCTCAGAGCTGCTGGGTGTGGAGGTGATGCCTGTACTCCCAGTGCTTGGGAGTTGTAGGCAGATGATCAGGAGTTCAAAGCTATGCTCGCTGGGTGGTGGTGGTAGAGCATGATTTTAATCCCAGCACTTGGGAGGCAGGGACAGGAAGATCTCAGTGAATTCAAGGCCAACCTGGTCTACAGAGCAAGTTCAGGACAGCCAGAACTGTTAGAGAAACCCTGCCTTGAAAAATATATTAAAAAAAAAAAAAAGCTATTCTCAGCAACACAGCAATTAAGAGGCCAGCCTCAACTACATGATACTATCTTTAAAAATAAAAATAAAAAAACCAAAACAAAACAGCTGTTTTGCAAAGGCTGCTGAGCAGCTGGCTTTGAGCTGAGTCCTGGGTGATAAAGTAAGGTACCCATGAGTAAGCCCCTGAGGACAGACTGTGATTGACAAAGGGCAGCAGTGCTGGGCAGGAATGAATTGGTGTGTGAATGAAGGAAGAAGTGAAGTCAGGGAACCAGGGCACAGTGAGCTCGGGTAGATGGGGCCACTCTGAAACACCAGAATTAATTCTAAGAGCAACAGGAAGCCATGGAGGACACCACAGGATGGTTTTGTTGTGGTTTTAAACTGTGGGTGTGGGTGTGTCGGGGGGCATATTTGGTGCATTCCCAGAAGTCAGAGGACAACCTCAGTTCTTGGTCCTCACTTTCTACCTTATTTAACACTAGCTGGCCTTTGATCTTCTGGTGACTCTGTTTTTTACTTCCCATCTGGCTATAGGAGCAACTGGGATCACAGATGTGTGCCCTTGTGCCTCACTTTATGTGAGTCTTAGAGATCTGAATTTGTGACTTCATCCTGTGTGGTATCTCCCCAGGCCTTGTCTGTTCACTTTTGAGATGAGTTCTGGCTCTCTTGTGTTCAAGCTGGCCCAAGATCTCTGCCTCCTGAGTACCCAGGGCTATAGGCTGGCAGTACAGTGAGGAGTTCAGGAAGGAAGTTCTGTGTCCCTGAGTCGGTGTCTGCATTATTTTCACTAGCTGCCTAGTGGTTACCCTGGGTTTCACTCTGTATTCATTTCCTATAAGACGTCATCCTCAAATTCCGGGACAAGATTGAGAAAATGGAGAAAGATGTGTACGCAGTGCTGCGGCTAGAGGCAGAGGAAAAAGAGATGCAGCAGTCAGAGGCCCAGGTGAGGCGGGGTGGCCGTCCTCACCCCTGCTGCTCAGAAGTGGCTGCATTGCTCACCTGGCAGTGGCTGCTGCAGCCCCACCAGTGTCCTTGTGCCAACCCCACAGATAGACACAGCAAAGCGGCTCTTGGAGAAGGGGAAGGAGACAGCAGACCAGGAGCCTGAGAGGAGCTGGTTCCAGACCAAAGCAGAGAGGAAGAAGGAGAAGAGTGAGTAAATATTAGTGGGAAATGCTTGCTGTGCAGGCCTAAGGACCTGAGTGAGGCTGTCTCTCTAAACCCGCCTTACAGCTTTAAAACATAAAATGGCAGCATGTGTCTTTATCATTAATGAATATTGAAAGTTTTTCCAGCTTTTTGCCATGGGGATGTCACGAGAAACTTTGAACATATATACACCCCTTAGTTAAGCAAGCATTTTACTTTATAGGATAAACTCCTGAAGGTAGAGGTGTGCCTATTTCTAATTCTAGTGGCGATCTCAGAATTATCTCCTGAATCTGCCCCTATTTGATGGGACAGGCAGGAAAGGTGAGTGTTAGGCTTCTATGGTAGAAGTGCGGCTGTGATTATGGTGGAAGGTGTTGAGTACTGGGGTAAAACCTGTCTTCATCTTTGGTAGCAGGAATCAAGAGGCAGTGAGCACCTGCAGTTACGAGACAGCTGGGGTATAGTGACCTGGAGATGATCAGCAGAGGATTTGTGTGGAGGAGAGAGAAAACGTCCACTGTCATTCTCCAGTGTCATGTGTCATCCATTTTGTTTTAGTTTTTTTTTTTTTAATTTTAGGTTTTTTTTTTTAGCACACTTTTTAAAGATCTTATTTATTATGTATACAACATTCTGCTTCCATTTTTATCTGCACATCAGAAGAGGGCACCAGATCTCATAATGGATGGTTGTGAGCCACCATGTGGTTGCTGGGAGTTGAACTCAGGACCTCTGGAAGAGCAGTCAGTGCTCTTAACCTCTGAGCCATCTCTCCAGCCCTTGTTTTAGTTTTTGAGACAGGGTCTCTTACTGGTCTAGAAACTCAGCAAATGGGCTCGTCTGTCTGGCCAGTAAACATTTGTCTTTGCCACCCTAGTACTTCCAGTTATTCTTTCTTTTCTTTACTTTTTTTTCAAAACAGGGTTTCTGTTTGGCTTTGGAGCCTGTCCTGGAATTAGCTCTTGTAGACCAGTCTGGTCTCAAACTCATAGATCCGCCTGCCTTTGCCTCCTGAGTGCTCAGATTAAGGCATGTGCATGACCAACGCCTGGCCTCTATTTTTCTTTCTTTTTTTTGGTTTTTCAAGACAGGGTTTCTCTATGTAGCTTTGGAGCCTATCCTGGCAGTCGCTCTGGAGACCAGGCTGGCCTCGAACTCACAGAGATCCACCTGCCTCTGCCTCCCAAGTGCTGGGATTAAAAGTGTGCGCCACCAACGCCTGGCTCTTTTTTTTTAAATGGGTTCTAGGGTTCTAGATGCCTGAGTTTGCTTTTAATCTCAGTATTCATGGATGGATCCCTGTAAATTCAAAGGAAGTCTAGTTTACTTAGTGAGTTTCAGGCAAGCTAGGGGTACGTAGATTGTGTGTCAAAAAGCCAGTTTAATAAAGTTGATTCTAGCTGGGTGGTGGTGGTGCACACCTTTAATCCCAGCACTTGGGAGGCAGGGGCAGGCGGATCTCTGTGAGTTCGAGGCCAGCCTGGTGTACAATTCGTGTGCCAGGACAGCCTCCAAAGCTACACAGAGAAATCCTGTCTCGAAAATCCAAAAAAAAAAAAAAAACAAGAAAGAAAGAAAGTCGGTTTTAGGCATTCACATTCAGATCCTTACTCTTTTAAAATTGTGTGTATTTATTCATCAGTTCATTGTGTATTAATATATTTGGATCACACCCTCCATTGCTGTCCCCTCCCCCTCTGCACTGGGCCTCTTTCCAGCAAGTTCCCTCCTGCTTTGAAGTCTGCTTTTCATGGCTGCTGCATTTAATTAGGTCACTGACAAGAGCATGGGTGGGGGTTATTCCCTTGAATGGGGGCAACTTGCCAGTGGCTGCAGCACTAAGGAATGTGATTCCCTCTCCCTGGGCCCCCATTCTTACCTGACAGGCACTTTTCTAAGCGAGTATCACTCCCCACTAGTTACTTTTCATCTTAAGCTTTAAAGACATAACGAAACGGTCCCTGAAACCCCATGCTCTGCTCTCACTCCAGTTGCCAAGGCTCTGCAGGAGTTTGATTTGGCCTTGAGAGGAAAGAAGAAAAGAAAGAAGTTTATGAAGGATGCCAAGAAGAAGGGGGAGATGACTGTGAGTGGCCTCCCTCTGGAGTTAGGTCCCATGGAGCACTGGTCTGTTCTTTGCTCATCCCTCACTGTGTCCCCAGGCAGAGGAGAGGTCCCAGTTTGAAATCCTCAAGGCACAGATGTTTGCAGAGCGGTTGGCCAAGAGAAACCGCAGAACCAAGCGAGCACGGGCAATGCCCGAGGAAGAGCCTGCAGCAGGCCGTGGTAAGAGATGAGTTCACCCTGATACCCAAACCATGGCAGGAGGAGTTGGTGGGGATGGCGGTGGCCTAGTTTTGGAGGAAATCTTCACGTGGACCTTCAGAGGACTTAACAGCTGTGACCCATTTTTCTCTGCAGCCAAGCATCAAAAGCAGCAGAAGAAGTCTGTGTTTGATGAAGAACTCACCAACACAAGCAAGAAGGCCCTGAAGAAGTACCGAGCTGGGTAGGGTTTTAAGTGCTCCTCAGCCCTTGGTGTGCTATAAACCGAGGTGTCTACATGCTTGCCCACTCCCAGCTCTCTTAACTAGGGCTTCATAATGCTGTGACTTAGGGCACTTCTGTACCCCGAGGGCCTGATGTGCAAGAGCAGGAGAGGTGTTGTGTGTTCCTGTATAAGTTCCCTCACCTAGACACCTGTCTAGGCTGGTTGGGAAAGGCCTCTTCCTGCTGATCTTAAAACTGGCTTTCAGAAATGTATATTGTTTTGTAAAATCCCACGGGAGCCTGGCTTCCAGGCTCTGAAACTCACATGGCTACACCCGTCCCCCCTATGCTGCCCCTTCTGTGACACCACGAATGGGGTATGTCACTGGTCACTGACGTCCCACAGCCTCCCCATCTCACATTTCATCTCTTACAGCCCTTCCTTTGAAGAGAGGAAACAGTTAGGTCTGTCCCGCCAGAGAAGAGGGAACTTCAAATCCAAGTCCAGGTGATGCTGGCTGTGGAGGGCAGAGGCAGTCGGCAGTCGGCACCCCTGGGAGCTGGTGTCTTGGGAGGCAGCACTGTTTCTCCCTTCTGCCTTTAATTGTGTTGATTTTCTTAATAGGTACAAGAGAAAGAAGTGACCCAGTGGCATGGAGAACTTGATGGGACAATTTTATATCCCTTCCCCGTGGGAAGTCATCTTGTCTTGGTCTGTTTTTTTTTTTTTTTTTCCATTTGTAAGACAATAACAACAAAAAAAATCTCTTGAACAAGCCTGCTATTTGTATATTTGTTTTTTCTTAAGATGATGTTGGGAGAGTTTGTGTCTAGGAGCTGTTTCTTTTTCTTTTTTCTTTTTGGTTTTTCCAGAAAGGAGATGTTTCTTAGTGTCTCACTCATGGCTTGCTTTCTTTCTTTTTTTTTTCTTTTTCAAGACAGGGTTTCTCTGTGGCTTTGGAGCCTGTCCTGGAACTCGCTCTGTAGACCAGGCCTTGAACTCAGAGATCCTCCTGCCTCTGCCTCCCGAGTGCTGGGATTAAAAGCGTGCGCCACCTTCATGGCTCCTTTTTAAAATTTGGAGACAAGAGTCTGTGTAGCCCCGGCTAGCTGGGAACCTACTAGTCAGGTCTCAAACTTGAGGCCCTCTAGATTTCTGGGATTACAGGTGTATACTGCTGTGCCTGGGCGTTGCCCCTCTGCCTGATCAGCTTTCCTATGACACATCAAACTCAAGAAGTCAATTTTGAGTTTATACTCCTTCCCCTCAGTTTGGAAACAACCAGTTCTCTAGTCGCACATACCTGGACTTAAAGTCTGTTCAGAAACACTTGAGGTCACTCACATTTGCCAACATAGGGTTCTGTTTAGAAAATCAAGGTGCTCCTGGTGCTGGGCTGTGGTTCAGACCAGACTATGTCCTTGGAAGAAAAACCCCATGTTAAAAGCCAGGTGCAGGAGACAAGTGAGAAGGCTCAGCCAGTAAAGGAAGACTGACGACTGACTCTGAGCTGAGCTGGGGACCCATACAGTAGGAGGAAGCCAACTCCTTCCAGTTGTCCTCTGATCTCCATATGTGCAGACCACCCAACCACAAACAAGAAATAAATGTGTTCCAGAGAGAGAGCCAAGTGCAGAGCTCTCATTAGGAATATGCACTGGTATTAGGTTGTCTCAGGGGACTCATGAGACATTTGCTATAGGCTGAAGAATGTCTTACTATAGATAAGATTTGGTTCACCAGCTAAATGACCACACTACAAAAAACGATGCATGCCTCACCATAGACAGTAATCCACCCACACAATTCTGTGGCCACCTAAGTTGTTACTAAAAGTTAGGAAGATAGACAAGCCCCTGGGGTGACAGACAAGCTGCTGGGGTGGTGGTGGAATATAGCTGAAGACCTAGGTTCATCAGTTACCAATATAGTAACACAGAGTCTATAGATTTCTTTTTAATCATTGTTTTTATTAATTGGCTTTATAGGCTAAAGTGCATAGTAAAGACCAAAAAAAAAAAAAAAAAAAAAAAAGAAAAAAAAAAAAAAAAAAAAAAAAAGAAAAAAAAAAAAAAAAAAAAAAAAAGAAAAAAAAAAAAAAAAAAAAAAAAAGAAAAAAAAAAAAAAAAAAAAAAAAAGAAAAAAAAAAAAAAGGAAATGCATACATAAGAAAGGGGCTTTTCTGGCCAACATTAGAAAGGACCTGAGATGCCTTAGTCTGTTCTAAGGAACACTGGACAGCGATGCAGATGCAGGCTATGAGCCTGCAAAAGCTGCTGGCGTGCTAACCCTGTCCAGGCAAAGGCTGAGGGAGTGTGTTGCTGACACCAAATGCAGGCAGCACCACCACTGAACTCTCCTACAGAGGCCGAGACACACATATCCCAACCTTCAAGCTTGCCATTTGAGTGCAAGTTTCAGGAGGGTGCAGGAGTCACTCAACCTGTGCCTGCTGTGGGAACCCTACCCACAGGGACCCCACTAGGGATGGTGACTATGTAACTGGGTCAAGGGGAGTTGGTGAAGTGTCTGTCACAGGCCTTCATCTCCAGGAGGGCAGGAGCCCAAGCAGTAGGGTGCTGGGATTCTTGTGCTCCTTGGGTACGTGGTTCCTAAAGCTCTGGGTTGCTGTTATTACAGTGAAGTTAGTCTGCAAGTTAGGGCCTGGCCATGAGAAACAGTGCACCCTGGGAACACACAGAAGTGCTAACCATGCCAGGGCCCAGTTACCCTAATAGCCCCAGGTGGAGGCCAGATGCCCCCGGAGTCCCACTTGCTGCAGGAGAGGAGGTGACAACCGTGGGCTCTGCTTAGTGTGGAAGTAAAGTGCTTACTCTAGCAGCGCAGGGTACATCTAGAATCACGCGGGCAAGCCCTAACAGTGGATCCTTAGACAAGTGTGAAGACTAAAGAACACTAATAAACTGCTTCCTCTGCAGGGAGCCAACCCTGGCTCTGAGGTGGCAGGGCAAAAGGCCTCGAGGTGCCATCTTTTACATCATCCTGCGGATCTCCTCGAAGTTCATCAGATTGTTGGCTGTGTCTGACCACGCGGGGTGCTGGGCGCCATCCATCTCGGGGGCCAGCTGGTTGCTCCTCTCCAGAGTATGATTTTCACCACCAATTACCTCCTGGCACTCAGGACAGGTGCCTCTCTGCATGGCTCCCCCACACTCAGTGATCACATAGATGTGTCCGTTGGGGCACTTGAACCAATGGCCACGAGGAACACCCAAGGCGGTGACAATCTGCACACGTTCTTCTTCTGAGATCCCCAGGCCAGAGCAGGGAAGGGTAGTTTTCAGAGCATCCATCTTTTTCTGCACAAGCTGTTCGTCTTCCTGGGTGAACTTACATGTTTTTTCGAGAATATTCCGGATGCTGGAGACCTCTTCAGCTACACTGCCTTTTACCTTCTCCTCTGCCATCTTGCAGCGCATCAGGAGGTTCACAAGATAGGTGAGCCTCTGGATTTCACTCTGGAGGTCGCTCAATTCCTGGCTGCTGAAGCTCAGACGCTTCTTGGCCAGCCATTCATAGACCTGTTCAAGTCGAGTCCTCACTCTCTGACGTTCTAAGTAATGCACCTTTTCCAGGGACCCTTCCAAGTTGGCCAAGTGGTCATAGAAGCTAATGGAATTCTCCACAAGGCCCAGGTCCTTCACTGACAGGTTTTTCTGGGCCAGCTTCTCTTCTAGCATCAGGAATTCTTCAGAGCGCAGCTGGAGGAAGAGAGTCTTGCTCTTCAGCAGGGCCTTAAGTTGTTCCTGGCTGGCTGCAATCTCCCCTGCAGAGCCCTGGATCTTTTCCTTGACAATTTCTATCTCTTCCAGCCGCTGTTTGATGCTGGTTCCATACCTCAGGTTTTTGCGGATGGGTACCTGGCAGATGGGGCAGACCTTCAGCCTGATGGCGACTTCGTCATCCTTCTGCTCATTCATGTAGCGGTCCAGGGCTTGCACCTCGAAGATATGGCTACAGTCTTCCAGCTGCACAAAGCGAGCATCAGGCTCATCCTCAAAGCCAAAAAAGATTTGGGTGACCTCATCCAGTTGGCAGACACGGCACTTCTTGGGACATGGCTCCCCACACAGACCAATGCAAGGGTGGCCGCAAGCCAGCAGCTTAGTACAAGGCACGTAGCACCGGGGCCGGTTGCAGGGTTCTGAGCAGAGTTTGGTGCACTGGTAGTGCTGGCAGCGCCAGACACAGGGCTCCACACAGGGGCTGCACAGCTCCCCACACTTCTTCTTGCACTGGCTGTGGACACAGCGGTTCTGACATGTCCGCTGGCAGGGTGGACACTCACCAGTGCAGGGCTCCTGGCACTTGTGTGAGCAGATGAGCAGGCGCTTGCAGGGCTGTTGACAGCGCTCATGGAAGCGCCCTTCAAAGCAAGTGTGACAGGAGCCTGGGCACGGATGGCCACAGTCTAGGACGGTGTCACACTTGGTAGTGCACTTGACTGACAGACCGTATTTTACATCTTCTGCATTGCCACACTTCACCTGCTGACTGTGCCCACACTTAAGTTTCACAGTGACCTTTTCTGAACACAGCTGCACACAATCCTCACCACACAGGTGGCTGCACTTGTGGCCACATCTTAGGACCTTGGGGCAAGGCTCCTGGCAGCAAAACTCTGACTCTGGCACTGAACAAGGGACCATCTGTTTGTGACCACACCGAAGAATGATTTTGGGCACTTTCACCTGACAAGACTGGCACTCTTGGAAGCAAACAAGTGGGCACCGGTGCCCATCTGGGCAGATGACTTTCTGGCATGGTTTCATGCACTGGAACTCTTTGTGGGAGGAGTCATAGGGGTGGCAGGCACGTGTACACACATGCCCACAGGCCAACCGGAACTCACAGGGCAGGCTGCAGCCTCCTTCCGGCACTTTTTGGAAATCGGAAGCTTTGGATACCAGGGTGTGGGTGTCAGGGTGGTTCTGGCAACAGAGGCGAAGGGACGGGCCTATTTGGTTGTTCTCTCGAAGGGTGTGGATGATCTTGCTCCACAAGGGCACCTTGGCAAGCATCTGCATGTTTCCAATGCAGTACATGCCCTTCTTGGCCCGGGACAAGGCTACGCAGATGCGGTTGGGGATCTGGAGGAAGCCCACCTTGCCCTCCGGGTTGCTCCGAACTAGCGAGAGGAGGATGATGTCATTTTCTTCCCCTTGGTACTTGTCCACCACGTGGACTTTGATGCCAGCAAATGTCTTGGCAGGCATGAGTTTGCGCAAGCAGAAGAGCTGCCCAGTGTAGGTGGTGAGGATGGTGATCTGGGAGGGCAGGTACTCCTGGCACAGGAAGTACTGGCACAGCTCCACCACAAAGTGTGCCTCATGCTGGTTCTGGTGGCTTTTGCCTTCTTGGATATCCTGTTCAGGAAAGTTGTGCTCTACAAAGAAAAGGTTGGAGGAGACCCCCTGAAAAGCAAGGTGACATGTCAGAACCGCCCTGTGACTCTTCTCTTCCCTTCAGCACTGGACTGAACCCAGGGCCTCACACGTGCTAACCAGGCTGCACCTGAGCTACACCCCAGAGCCTCACACGTGCTAACCAGGCTGTACCTGAGCTACACCCCAGAGCCTCACACGTGCTAACCAGGCTGTACCTGAGCTACACCCCAGAGCCTCACACATGCTAACCAGGCTGTACCTGAGCTACACCCCAGAGCCTCACACGTGCTAACCAGGCTGTACCTGAGCTACACCCCAGAGCCTCACACGTGCTAATCAGTGCTGCACCTGAGCTACACCCCAGCTCTTGACACTGCTTTTTCTTGTCTCATGAACACTGAGCACTGGCCCTCAGGAAGACACTCCTTTTTGTGCCCTCCACCTCACAACTTTACTTCTGAAGTTAGTCACCATGTGCTTTACCTTAGGCCATGGCACAGAGCTGGAGAAATAATTAGTCCAATTTTAGTTTTCCAAGTGTCTGATCACCAGTCATGGCCAAGGCAACAGGCAGTAGCTGGGATGAGGGAGCAGCTGACGTGCCGAGTGCTCCACAGTGCTGACTGCCACACAGGCCCAAGCTGCCATTCTCACCACACACAACACCATGACACCTGCATCTCTTGCCTGACTTGCTCAAGTTCACACAGCTACCAAGCAGCAAAAGAGAGATTTAAACCAGGTCAAGATCCTGTTTCTGTTCCATCTCCCCTAGGGTTCAGCGGTCACAAGGTGGCTCCACTTCTTTTTTTTTCTTTACAGGAAAAAAAAAATGTATGTATGTATGTATGTTTTTCAAGACAGGGTTTCTCTGTGTAATAGCTCTGGCTGGTCTGGAACTCGCTTTGTAGATCATGCTGACCTGGAACTGCCTCTGCCTCCTGAGTTCTGGGATTAAAGACGTGCACCATCACCACACAACTCAGATTCTATTTTTATTTTTCACTCTGTGTGTGTGTGTGTGTGTGTGTGTGTGTGTGTGTGTGTGTGTGTATCTGTGGGCATGTGCACCTGAGTGTGGGTGCCCGTGAAGATTAGAAGATGCAGAGAGCTAAAAGGTGAACATTGTTGGATCCCCTGGGAATGGAGTTAGAGGCAGTTGTGAGGTCCCAGTGTGGGTGCTGGGAACTGAACATGGGTCCTGTGAAAAAGCAATACACACTTTTTTATTTAGACAGAGCCTGTCCATTATGTAACTCTTGCTGTCCTGGAACTTGTTATGTAGACAAGGCTGCCTCAAAGTCAGAGGTCCACATGCCTCTGTCCCCGGGGGCTGGGATTAAAGGTGTGCACCACTACGACAGCTTCAGTACATAAACACTGAGCCATCTCTCTAGCCCCTCTACTACTACTTTCAAAAGCCTTTTTTCCTCCCAAGGAAAGGAAACCCCCTTGGCTGCTGACACCATCAGAGACAACCAGATAGGACAGACTGACCTTAATCTGTTCATACTTGAGAACAGAGGGATGGTTCTCCAGATCCTGGTAAATGTGGGGGGTCAAAAGGCGGGCGATTTCAGGCCGCATGCGGTGCTGAAACAACAGGTGTTGTTAGCAACAAGAGCAAGACAAAGGCCATTTCTCTGGAGGCTATGGCACCAGCAGGAAACCTACAGGGTATCACCCAAGAGCAGCTGGGAGAAAGCATAATGTAAGTGGCTTGGTCCCACAAAGTAGGGGACCTTGTAGTGGTTGAAACAGTATTTCTGGTGGGCTACTTCAGGTAAGCCAGCTCTAACTGTTGGCATGTGGCACACACCCAGGAACCTTCTAGATGTCTATAGCAACATAAGCCCAGTCACTCACCTGGTGATTCAGACGGACAAAGGGGATGTTCACTTTTACCAGCCGCTCAAACAGGGACACCTCAAGGTTAAAGTTCTTGGCCAGATCATACACGTTAGCACTGGGACGCAGCTGGGGAGAGAAACATGGCTGAGAATTCTCTGCTAGAACACTCCGATCACCCAGCATCACGGGTTTTAAGCACCTAGTGTTGAAAGGCAGATATTAGTCTAAGTGCTGACAGTTTAAGGATTAATAGTGACAAGGACTGTGAAGAACCCAAGATGATGTAATGGAGAGCCCAAGGGTGGAAATTCTTTAGCCAGGCCTCTGAACAGTGACACCTGAGTTGACAACAACATGGAGGAAGCCTCATACATTCATTTGAAAAGCAAGCCATGAAAAGAGACAGAAAGGACAGTGAATGGGAGCTCTGAGCAAGTGAGGAGAGCCAGAGACACAAGACAAAGCCCACTCTTGTTTCTGAGATGGTCTTGCTATGCAGCAGTCTCTAGGCCAGGTATAATTGTGCATGTCCCTGTAAGCCTACACCTGGAAGGTGGAGGCCAGGGTCAGGAGTAAAAAAGCATCTGCAGCTACATACCAAATTTAAGGCTAGCCTGGGCTCCATGAGACCATCTCAAAAACCAAAGGACCTTGAGTTTTGACACCAAGAGCTGTGAGAAGCCCCTGGAGGGCGTTAAGAGTAACATGCTCTCATTTACTGTGATTTTAAGGTTCTGGTTCATTTGAGGCAGGTGTCTTGGTATGTAGCACAAGCTGGCCATGCCTGGCTGATTTACTTTTTTTTTTTTCTTCATTT